TAATTTCAGTGACCAAAAATGTCTTAAAATATATGATTTTAACAATTTTTTTTGGATTTACCAAAATGACCAACTAAATCGTAATGCGATCGATAATTCGCAACGCAAACTTCGACTATCGCATTGCGATTTACATATTCGCATTGTGATAGTCCAAGTTCGCGTTGCGATAGTCGAAGTTTGCGTTGCGATTTATTCCAAATTCGATGCGATTTGCATATTCGTATTGCGATAGTCGAAGTTCGCGTTGCGATAGTCGAAGTTCGCGTTGCGATTTATTCTAAATTCGTTACGATAGTCCAAGTTCGCGTTGTGATAGTTGAAGTTCGCGTTGCGAATCTGAAAACTCATTTGCGATACTGGAGATCGCGTTGCGAATTATCGATCGCATTACGATTTAGTTGGTCATTTTGGCAAATCCAAAAAAAGTTGGTTAAAATTATATATTATAAGACATTTTTGGTCACTGAGGTTATTTTCTTAATACATTATCCATACGACCATGATAATGTAGTAACAGTATTTAAAATATATTTATTTAATTAATACAAAGCTTCTAGGAATTATATATATGTTTATGTTAGATTGCATTAAATCAAATATAAAATTTCGCTTTAATACTCAAGTTAAGACTCAGATCAAATATATAATTTTAAGTTTGAATTAAATCAAATAATGAATGGATAAATATTATTTGATTTTAAAATCATATTATTTGGATAAGATTAATACACATTTATCGTTTCTGTCTACAAAGACAACTTGCAAGAGATAGAGGGGCCATGCCGCACTCCAAATATTATAGTAAATTACATATTTAATATCTAAATTAATATATTTTTTATTTTATTTTAATACATAAATTTAATTTTATTTTAAAATCATATATATATATATATATATATTATTTTCTACCATTCTGCTTTTTTCTTTCATCTCAGTCTGACCGAGATCCATAAAAAGCTTTTTATAGAATGTATATTTTACTGTATCACAGACGAAGAGGACGCTTTATATATAACCCATCTGTATTTACATAAACACTAGGTTGAGAGCAGCTTCCGTAAGAGACCTCCGAATTATGAAATGCCCTCCGTGGGATTCGATCCCACAACCTCAAGGTTAAGAACCTTGTGCTCTACCAACTGAGCTGGATGGTCATTTCCCATCTATATTTACATGATAAAGATAATAAATAAATATTATTTTAATAATAAATTAATTTTTATATTTGAGTAAAATTACCTCATGTATGATGCATAGTTGACGGGTAGTTCTGCGGTGCGGCGCCTAAAAAACGGCTAATATACGGCGTGACCGGTAAAACAAGTGACCGGTTAAAATTTAGACCGGTTATATTATATTTTTTAACCGAAAATATTATAAAGTACAATAACATACTAGGTAGCGCTTATATAATGTAATAGGTAGGCTTATATTTACCTATTTTATAAGTAAATCGGTATATTTATACCGATAGCATTGCAAATTTACCTATTACATTATAATATGTTGAAAGTGTCCATACTTTTTATAAAAAGGATCGATAATTTTTTTTAAAGTATGTAATTTATGTTTCAATTTTTTTTAATATGTTTCATGTTTTTCACCTACAATATTAATTTAATAATTTCATTTGCACAAAAATTTATTTGATTGTTTTGATATTTTATAAAATAATATTTAGAATTTAAATTTAACAATATTAACCAAAGATAATAATAAATATGTAATATATATATTTATTGTTTTTAATTTAATAATAATATATCGTAACGTAAAAAATAAATCATTAGACGCCTATAATTACTAAATTAATATCTTAAAACTCACTTAAAAGATAACCTTAAATTAATATTTTCCACAGTGAAAAAAGTATGGACACTTTTATAAAAAGGATAGATACTTTACAACTACCTATTACATTATATAAACGATACCTATTACATTATATAAGCGCTACCTATTACATCATATTTTTACCTATTATATTGAAAGTGTCTATACTTTTTATAAAAAGGATCGATACTTTTTTTTAAAGTTATGTAATTTATGTTTCAATTTTTTTTAATAGTGTTTCATGTTTTCCACCTACAATATTAATTTAATTTTCATTACACAAAAAATTATTTGATTGTTTTGATATTTATAAAATAATATTTAGAATTTAAATTTAACAATATTAACCAAAGATAATAATAAATATAATATATATGTTTATTATTTTTAATTTAATAATATATATATCGTAACGTAAAAAATAATCATTAGACGCCTATAATTACTAAATTAATATCTTAAAACTCACTCAAAAGATAACCTTAAATTAATGTTTTCCACAATGAAAAAAGTATAGACACTTTTATAAAAAGGATAGATACTTTACAACTACCTATTACATTATATAAATGATACCTATTATATTATATAAGTGCTACCTATTACATCATATTTTTACCTATTATATTGAAAGTGTCCATACTTTTTATAAAAAGGATCAATACTTTTTTTAAAGTTATGTAATTTATGTTTCAATTTTTTTTAATAGTGTTTCATGTTTTCCACCTACAATATTAATTTAATAATTTCATTTACACAAAAAATATTTGATTGTTTTGATATTTTAAAATAATATTTAGAATTTAAATTTAACAATATTAACCAAAGATAATAATAAATATGTAATATATATATTTATTGTTTTTAATATAATAATAATATATATCGTAACGTAAAAAATAAATCATTAGACGCCTATAATTACTAAATTAATATCTTAAAACTCACTCAAAAGATAACCTTAAATTAATGTTTTCCACAATGAAAAAGTATGGACACTTTTATAAAAAGGATAGATCTTTACAACTACCTATTACATTATATAACGATACCTATTACATTATATAAGCGCTACCTATTACATCATATTTTACCTATTATATTGAAAGTGTCCATACTTTTATAAAAAGGATCGATACTTTTTTTAAAGTTATGTAATTTATGTTTCAATTTTTTTAATAGTGTTTTATGTTTTCCACCTACAATATTAATTTAATAATTTCATTTACACAAAAAAATCATTTGATTGTTTTGATATTTTATAAAATAATATTTAGAATTTAAATTTAACAATATAACCAAAGATAATAATAAATATGTAATATATATGTTTATTTTTTTAATTTAATAATATATATATCGTAATGTAAAAAATAAATCATTAGACCCTATAATTACTAAATTAATATCTTAAAACTCACTCAAAGATAACCTTAAATTAATGTTTTCCACAGTGAAAAAAGTATGGACACTTTATAAAAAGGATAGATACTTTACAACTACCTATTACATTATATAAATGATACCTATTACATTATATAAGCGCTACCTATTACATCATATTTTTACCTATTATATTGAAAGTGTCCATACTTTTTTAAAAAAGGATCGATACTTTTTTTAAAGTTATGTAATTTATGTTTCAATTTTTTAATAGTGTTTCATGTTTTCCACCTACAATATTAATTTAATAATTTCATTTACACAAAAATTATTTGATTGTTTTGATATTTTATAAATAATATTTAGAATTTAAATTTAACAATATTAACCAAAGATAATAATAAATATGTAATATATATGTTTATTGTTTTTAATATAAAATATATATCGTAACGTAAAAATAAATCATTAGACGCCTATAATTACTAAATTAATATCTTAAAACTCACTCAAAAGATAACCTTAAATTAATGTTTTCCACAATGAAAAAAGTATGGACACTTTTATAAAAAGGATAGATACTTTACAACTACCTATTACATTATATAAACGATACCTATTACATTATATAAGCGCTACCTATTACATCATATTTTTTACCTATATATTGAAAGTGTCCATACTTTTTATAAAAAGAATCAATACTTTTTTTAAAGTTATGTAATTTATGTTTCAATTTTTTTAATAGTGTTTCATGTTTTCCACCTACAATATTAATTTAATAATTTCATTTACACAAAAAATTATTTGATTATTTGATATTTTATAAAATATTATTTAGAATTTAAATTTAACAATATTAACCAAAGATAATAATAAATATGTTTTCCACAGTGAATAAGTATGGACACTTTTATAAAATGATATATACTTTTTTTAAATTTATGTAATTATGTTTCAAATTTTTTAATAGTGTTTCATGTTTTCCACCTACTATTAATTTAATAATTTCATTTACACAAAAAATTATTTGATTTTTTGATATTTTATAAAATATTATTTAGAATTTAAATTTAACAATATTAACCAAAGATAATAGTAAATATGTTTTCCACAGTGAAATAAGTATAGACACTTTTATAAAATGATATATACTTTTTTTAAGTTATGTAATTTATGTTTCAATTTTTTTTAATAGTGTTTCATGTTTTCCACCTACAATATTAATTTAATAATTTCATTTACCACAAAATTATTTGATTGTTTTGATATATATTATTTAGAAAAATTTAACAATATTAACCAAAGATAATAATAAATATATTTTCACAGTGAAATAAGTATGGACACTTTTATAAAAAGGATAGATACTTTACAATATAACAAGTAAAAATATGACAAAACCAGATTCATTATGATAAAACCGGTAAAATTTACTTGATATGTTAAAAGTATGGACACTTTTATAAAAATGATAGATACTTACCGATAACCAAAGTTTACCGGTTACCAAATTTTTTAATAGTTTTTTCATATTTTTACCTAAAACATTATTAGTTGTCAACATAATAGGTACCGCTAAACCGAATTTATTAAATACATTTTAATGTATCCGATACTGCCGTATATTAACCGTGTATTAACCTGCCTGAGACAATCCCATAGTTGACAGTTTGCCCACTCTTCTTTCTTTATCTCTCACACATGTCCAATCAACTTTTTCAGAGCAGACCGATTCCCAAAACCCTTTTTTCATTTACTTCTCAATCTATTTTTTCTATTTTATTAAATCAGATTTCCATCAACTTGCAGGTCCTTTTTCCTTGTATAAATCAACCCTCAATTTATTCAATTAACTCCTCCTCTTTCCCTTCCCTTCCTCTTCCGTCTCTTTTCTAGATTCCTCTCGTTCGGTCTCTTTTGATCCAAAACCAAGTTCTGGGTTTATCATTTTTCGACCCAAAACTTCAAATCTTTTTGGTGTTCAAAACTTTCATTTTTGTTGTGATTTTCAAGGAGAGTTTTGTTTAAAACGACAAAATCTTGATGCCCAATCTTTTGTTCTTGATGTTTGAGATTCATGACTCCAATTCTCAGTGAAATCTTCCTTTCTGGGTTTATGATCAATTCCACATTCATCCGCAGGACCCATCTTGTTCAATCTTTCTCAGTTGTTTTCCTCTATTGGTTGTACTACGTTTCATGATTCTTCTTCTTCCATCTCAAAATCTACAAAAAATTATACTACTGCTACTACCATTAATCTATCTTTTTTTCTATAATTATTATTAGAATAACTTTATAGTCTCTCTTGATAAGTTCCATGGCTTCCTCAAGTGGAACATCATCCGGTTCACTCACCACAAACTCGGGCTCGGAGGGCGATTTACAGGCATTAATGAACGAAAGAAAAAGAAAGAGAAAGATATCGAACAGAGAATCGGCACGGCGGTCGAGGATGAGGAAACAGAAGCATCTCGACGATCTTCAAGCTCAACTGACTCAACTCCGAAACGACAACCAGCAGATCCTGACTCAGTTGAACATCACCACCCAACATTACTTGAACGTCGAGACCGAGAACTCGGTGCTCCGAGCTGAGGCCAACGAGCTGAGCCACCGATTACAGTCCCTGAATGAGATCATCAGATTCATCAACGGCGGTGGTACTAACTCCGATGCCGATGGGTTTGGTTTCACTGAGTCGGCCGATAGCTTCTTTAACCCATTGAATTACTTGAATCAGCCGATCATGGCATCGGCGGATAATGTGTTTGAGTATTGAAAATCTGCATGAAAGAGAGAAGACAGGGTTTTTGTTGTTTTGTTTTTTTGGTGGATTATTATTATCAGTGGGGAGTGGTGAGAAATAAGGTTATGTGTCAGCAGACAGAGTGGTTGTTGTTGTGCTTAGTGTTGGGTCTTTTTAGTTTGTAAAATGGGGTTTAATGGTATGAACTTGTGCATTGCCAATGCAAAAACCCTTATTTTATGTATTTGGGCTGTTGTTTTTAAGTATTATAGTGGCTGATTTCACGAGATAATATTCTCGAAATTTTTTTTCACGAGATAATGCGTTGGACATATTATTTGTTGAGATAGGGTTAATTCTACAGTGATCAAGGAGGTCGTCATGCACTCCGGGCGACCAAGGATGTCGCCATGCACTCGGGGCGACCAAGGAGCGATGCATGTGGGAGATCTCTGCATGGGCATGTGGGAACGAGAGCTGTGCATGGGCCATGCACGTGGGGTGTAGGTCGCCATGGAGTCCCGACGATCAATCTATGGGAGATTCCTGCACCTGCACCACGACCAAGCTTTAACCCTATCTGTAACATCCCAAATCTGAGTTAGTGATTAAAATGAGAATTTTTGAAATTTGGGGATCAATTTAGGAAAATTGAAAAGTTTAAGGATTTAATAAGGATATTCAGTATTGGATTAAATAGTAAATATGAAAGGATTATAAGGGTATTATGGTAACTTAGTTTGAAATATTTTATCTCCCTTATTTAAGGAGATAACACGTGGGAATAGAGATATGTGGAAGCTTTCTTTCTTCTTCTTGCTTTCTTCTTCTCGTGGGTTCAAGCTCAAGTTTATAAGGTAAGTTTGCTTCAGTTGATTAATTTCTTGAATTTATAAGTTGGGATGGAGTATTTGGGTATTATATAAGCTTAAGGTAAGCTTATATAAGCTTAAAACATTAAGCAGAGAAATTTTGAAAGGAAATTTCACTACAACAAAATGGGTTAATAGCGACATTTGTAGCGGCATTTTAAGAACAAACGTCGCTAAAGACTCCTATTATAGCGGTGTTTTTATACAAACGCCGCTAAAGAATATAATTTAGTGGCGTTTTTATACAAACGTCGCTAAAGTCTGTAATTTAGTGGCATTTTTATACAAACGCCGCTAAAGACTCGTACTTTAGTAGCGTTTTTATACAAACGCCGCTATAGACTCATGATTTAGTGATGTTTTTATATAAACTCCGCTAAAGACTCGTACTTTAGTGACGTGTTTGTTACAAACGCCGCTATAGATTTAGTGGTGTTTTTTACAAACGTTGCTATAGACTCACGATTTAGTGACGTTTTTATACAAACGCCGCTATAGACTCGTGTTTTAGTGGCGTTTGTGTTTACAAATGCCGCAAGTTTACAAACATGTGATTTCGTTAGAAAATTTTGAGATCAAGTGTTCTACTTTAGTTACACGATTTTGAGAAAATTAATTTCGAAATGATATCAATTAATTCGTTCTTTTGGGTTACTCTTGGATTTGTACACACTCTACTTATGATGCATTTAGGACTATTGAACAACTCTGGGATTTGAAAGAAGATTTTGAATATAATGAGTGTTGTGTTTAATGGTCAAGATGATTGTAAAATTTAAAAGATAAACATATATTTTTATAAATATATTTAACAAACTTTTTTCCACCATCAACATAAGAAACGTAACATGATCTGACATATCGATTAAAGTATATTAAATGTTATTAAATAACTTTAAATAATTATCAAATATTTTTTAAATTAATCAATTTATTATTAATGATTATTAAATTTTATTAAATTATTATAAAATAAACATTAAATTTATCAAAATATTATACTTGTTATAATATTATAACAACTATTTTATAACATTTATAAATTTAATAAGATTTTTATGACTAAAATTTATGGAAATAATACGAAAAAATTGTTTGTTTAAATGGTGCCTTTGTTGAATAAAATGCCTCAGTGTTAGTGCTACCCACGGCAACATCATCAAGTGTGAACATCCGACGTGGCAAACTTAATTAGCAACCGTTGGATCAAGGACCACTAAAATCCAACGGCTATAAGAGAAACCCTAAACTAAAAATAGTCCCTTAGTTTCTACTATAAAATTCCAAATCCCCCTGTAATTTCCCATTCATCGTCCTCTCTTTCATTTCAACTCAAAAGCGGCTCTTCGAAAAGGTTCGATTCCTTCGTTATCAAAATATCAACAATTGTTTATCCCAATTTTTATTTCCGTTTGTAAATCTTTGTTTCTTTTAATTTTCATTATTTTCGAACGGAATTGTTTAGATCTGTTTGTTTATGAGTGATTGTTTCCATAACTTTTGTGGAAACAAATTAAAAATAATCCCCACCATATTAATTCATTGCTCTTCACCTGCATCTGCCTCTGTCCACAAGCCTTGAAAAATCTAAACTTCAATTCAACCACCCTTTCTGAACCAAAAAAAGAAGAAAGAAACATTTTCCCCCTTTCCCATGTTCTACTTTCTTACGACAACAACAAGCACAAGAATCTTAGGCGGCAAAATTTTGAAATGGTATATGGCAATTTGGTACTTTGGGTTTTGTTTCTCTTTCGATTTTGCTGTCTTGTTGATGTTTTTTTTGAAATAGGTGATGTTGGTCAGTTTACTTAAAGACCCTGAATTTGCTAATGTTGATTCAAGTGAAAACGAGTATGTTCCTTTTAAAGGAACGATTTTGAGGACTAAAAGTGGTAAATTTGCTTCATCCATCTCGGACCTTGTGTTTCTTGTACCACCTTCAACATCCTGGCTCCTATCTACAAGCGCTTGGACCAGCAGGTGATGTATTCTTCATCTCTTTCATTGATTTGTTTCCGTTTGTAAATTCTGCTAATTTTGATTTTTTTATGGAACATAATCAGAGCATACGTGAAAGTGATTTTAGAACATTTTGGTTAGCTAGAAATGAGAGGATAGTTGATTGGATGCTGTACGAAAGCTCTTCCATTATATGTCTCAAGGTGGGTTTCATGTTCCCTTATCTTCTATTAACAGTTTTTTTGAGGCACAGTCTTAATTTCAAATATGATGATATAAGCCTTATCTTTGTTGTGGTTTTTTGGTTCGATGATAGGAATTTTAGGTTGGAAATGAAGAATTAGTGCAAATGTATGAACAAAGGCTCGGTGCTGCCGGCTATAACACCTTTAAGCTTGCAAGAACCAATAACCGAGGAGATGGTACATGCTCGTTTAACTCATTTCTTCCCATGACGTAGACATTTTTAAGAATTTTTAATGCAAATGGCGTAGATTAATAGGGCGTTCTTATATGTTTTCTTCACTATAAGTAGATTAAGCTTAAATAGACTAAAAACTGTTAGAGAACCCCGTGTTCGGTACAAAAAATTATGATGTTAGTTTTATGCAGCTTGCTATTCTTCAGTTTAGAGGTTCATGTCTAACTCATATGACCTTTAGTCTTTGAGCCTTCCATTTGGCTCATTTCCTATCGAAAGCGTTAATCGAAGAATGACCATTTTCTCACCTTTTGGGGGCCGAATTCGGCTCCTATATAGTTCACATATTTTCTCATCTTTTCAGTTGCTAGTGATGGGGAAGACGATGGGGATATCTTTTAGGTTGTTTACAATCCTTATATCGTGTACAGACATTCCTGAAAGATTTAAATTCAATTTCTTCAGTATTTGATGTTTTGTTTTGATTCTAGTTCTTTTTAAAAGTATTCACTAGTTACAAATAACAGTCATGAGATTTTATATTTTCTTTTACTTCCACAGGTTTATTGATTGCTGTAAACAATGGATACTTCAGGATTTTAAATTACAAGTAGCAGTCAATGAAACATATTAGAGAGAACATAAACTCAACCAAGCACCTGTCATACTCTGTGGGTAAGCATAATGTTTAGTGTTGCTGTTTGATGATTTCCTCAGAGCATCACATTCTCATCTATTTTGTATAATTTTATCCGTTCTTGTAGTGACTGGAACGGAAGCAAACGTGGGCATGTTTACAAGTTCCTAAGGTCCCAGGGATTTGAAACTTGAAAATGCTGCCATTGAGTGATCCAAAGCTGTGGACTCTTCTGTTTTGAGAAGATACAACATATGGAGGAGAGAATTTGAGAATGATAATTCAGATTCCACATTGCGCTTGATGAAGGATCAAATTATAATGGCACAGGTTTATATAAGCATAGCAAAGATGAAAAATAAGCTTGGATTTGCAGCAAGAACTGCATATCAAGCTCAAAGAGAGTCAGCGTGCAGTTGGAGAGTCAATATGCCTATATGTTTCTAAACTGTGTCCAAATTTCTAAACTTATTTGAATCAAGGATTTTGTTTTCTATTTTGTTTCTAATTTCTCATTATTCGGTATGCCTTTACTAATAGCTCCTAAGTTATTGAAGTATTACTCTCTGTTATTTTGATTGTCAGTGTTGTCATGCCTAGAGGTGAACTAATATATATAGTTTCAATGTGTATAGTTCTGTTTTATGCAACTACTCCTAATAGTGTGATTTGCGACGTTTTTAGATGAAAATGGCATTAATAATGGGCTTATTTGTGGCGTTTTTAATTATAAATGCCACTAAATACACAGTCAGTAGCGGCGTTTGTAAAGAAAAACGTCGCTAAATACACAGTCAATAGCGGTGTTTGTAAAAAAAATGCGCTAAATACACAGTCAATAGCGGCGTTTGTCTTTACAAACGCCGCTATATGTCTTGACCTATTGCGGCGTTTTTTTTAAAAAACGTCGCTAACAATAGCGACGCTCATTGTAGCGTCACTTCTTGCGGCGTTTTTGCAAGCGTCGGGAAAGTTTTTAGCGGCACTTATAAACTCTGCTATAGGGTTAAAAAATGTCGCTAATGACCCATTTTGCTGTTGTGTTTGATTAAGGGTTGAGAAATAAATTCTTGATTTAAAGAGGTTTTTGAGTTCTAAGGATGGATTTGACTTGTCAAATGAGTAATTAAGAAGTTAGAGGTGATCGAATTGAATTTAAAACACATGAAAAATTTGATGAAATTCTTTGATTCAAGAATTATGGTGAATTATAAGATATGGTGAAGTGTTATAGTATTATAAGAAGGTTTAAATATGTATGGATAAGTTTTAAGGTATAAGGAGGGATTAATAAGTAGAATTTGGGGTTAAACAAGACATTTTTGGGCTCAAAATGTAATTTCTGGGTTGTATGCATCGATGCATCTTCAATGTGCATCGATGCACTCTCAAATA